CGACTCTTTGTGACTCTATTGACTGTAACCTGCCAGGCTCCTCTGTCTATGGGATTCTGCTGGGATTTCCCCAGCAAGAATACTGGATTGGGTGCCATTTCCTTCTCTAGGGCGTCTTCCCGACCCAGGGATAGAAACTGTGTCTCCTGCATTGGCAGGCAGATTCTGAATCAATGAGCCACCAGGGAAGCCAATAACTATGCTACAGAGAAGGAAATAATTAATATTGTCAGACAGGAGATGTTCTTTACTAGGCTTCATTAGTGAGTATATCATTCCCCAGCAAGAAATATACTGGATACTCTTGTATACCATCCCCAAACAATTCAAATACTATGCTGTGGTGGTTTATTTTATGTACCAACTTATGGGCCATGGGGTGCCCAGGTATTTGGTCAAACACTGTTCTGAGTTTCTGTAAAGGTGGTTTTGGATGACATTAACATTGAAATCAGGCTTCCCAGGTGGTGCTAGTGGTAAAGAACCTGCCTGCCAAGGCAGAGGACAGAAGAGACTCAGATTTGATCCCTGGGGTGGGAAGATCCCCTGGAGGAGGGCATGGCAGCCCACTCGTCTTCTTGCCTGGAATATCCCATGGACAGAGGAGCCTGGTGGTCTATAGTCCATAGGGTTGCAAAGAATTGGATACAACTGAAGCAACTTAACATGCATGCACACATTTAAATCAATGAACTCAGTACAGCAGATTGCCCTCCCTAATGTGGGCAGGCCTCATCCAATCAGTTGAAAGCTTGAACATAACAAAAAGCCTGCCTCTCCCAAGAAAGAGAGAATTATCCTGCCTGACTGCTTTCATACTGGGACGTCATCTCTTACTGAGTCTTTAACCTGCCAGTCTTTGGATGAGAACTATGCTATTGACTCTCTCGGTTCTCATGTCTTCAGACTCAGCCTGGAATTGAACTATGAGCATTTCTAGGTCTACAACTTGCCAACTCACCCTGCATATCTAGGGACTTGCCTGTTTCCATAGCTGTGTGAGCCAATTCTCTATAATCTCTCTCTCTACCTGCCTCCCTTTTTGGCTACAGGATTTTAGTTCCCTGACCAGGAATTGAACCTGTGCCCCCTGCAGTGGTAGCGCTGAGTCCTAACCACTGAACCACAAGGGAAGTCCCCTCCTTTCTAATTTTCAAGAGCTCACACCCCAATCTCAATCATGTATCTGCCGGATGAATGCTGTGATTGCCTACAATCCTGAAATGAGAGGACAAAACAACACAAGGCTGCACCAAAGATTCAGACATGATTTGTCAGCCTTTATTAACCAAGAGCAAAGCCGAGCCCTAGAGTTTCCTTTTAAAAAACCCAACCTTTTTTATGGCAAACAATGATTTTAAGTATATGTTCAATACTACAGAGCAAGAATTGATTACTTTCTAATCACTTATTCTTCAGAGATTAAAATACAAGTGTAAAACAGGTTAAAACAAGATTCTCCCCCATGATTTAAAAATAATTCCAATTGAAAGACATTTCAAACACTATGTGTAGAACTCAGGACCAAAAAGACCTTACAACATTTTTACCTTTGAGGTAGCACAATAATGCTGAATTAGATTTCTTTTACTACAATGAGCACAGGAAAACAACAAGGAATCTATGTTTCACTCAAGGTGGCCTAAATGGTTTTCTGCAAATCCCCCATGAGTTTGGTGACAGTTTTCTCCTTTTTTTTATTTCTTGAAGTATAAAGATAGCCCTGCAGTGTGTAAAAGGAAACCCATGGGAAGGCTGCTTCCCATAAAATAGACATTAGAATCATTGAGCAACGTCAGCAGTCAAGACAGGAGGAACAAGAGGTAATTGTAGTGAAAAGCCAAAACAACTTGTATCTTGGCGAGATTGGTTTACAAGTGCATGTCAAGAACAAAAATTCCAACATTGGCCAACTGAAAACAAGATATAAAAGATGACATTCATGGGTCTTTTTCCTTTTGCTCTGTGCAAAAATGCTCTTTTAATTTCTGTAAATGAGAGGATTGTACACTATGACAGGACATGGAGATGCTGTGTGTCCAGGGGCTGCTGGGTGCCAGGGGCACCTCACTGACCATCGTGACTAGAGAATCTGGGCAGTACGAGGATGAACAGTACCTCTCCTAGCTGGAGAATCATCTCTTGACACTTCGCTGCTGAATTCACTCATTAAACCGTTCAAAGAAAAGCTCCACCCTGATTTCTGAGAATCTACTGCAATCATACATGACACATTTATATGTAAGGATGACGGATTAAGAGGACAGGGCAGATGAACTCTTCCTTCAGAGAATACAACCAAAAGAAGGCAGGGGGTGTGATAAAGTGGGGCCAGTGGGAAAAATAATACTGTAGGTTAGACCTCAAGGCTCTTAGGAACAACATCCACCATGCAAAATCAATAGCAAAGTCAGAATGGAGGGCATGAAGCTCTAACCCATCCTAGAAGAGGACGATGTAAAAAAAAGATCAGAAAGATCTCTTCCCAATAGATGCTCCTCCCTGTGAGGCTCAGCTCTCAGCGCAGAGCTTGCATAGCACAGTGTGGACAGCAGAGTCCAGAGTCGAACTTGGTCTGCTGCCTTCCACTCCCCATGCTGGAGTGGAAGGAGAAACTGGAACACTGTCAGGCTCCTGGTGCCTTGGTAACAGCTGTGTCCTTTTCACTCTCACTGGTCCCTTGACTCCCTTCCTCAAGCCAGACCCTCAAGGGGCCCTACAGGCAGTGAGAGTCTGCACTGATGATCCATATGTCAATCCGCAGTTAGAGCAGGAAGACTGAAACCTGATGAATTCTACTTTGTAAAACAGAAACTGTCAGTACGCTGAGGGTGTCACAGAGCTTCTGTGAAGGGGAAGACTGAACTGGGATGTGAAAGAGGGCAGGATGAGAAGTCCTACCCCTAGCAGCCTGCAGGAGTGACTGGCTCGGAATTCACAGCTGGCCCTAACTAATGCTGGCATGGGGACAGGGTGGGGGGTGTAAGGGGGCGTGTATTCACACAGAGTCCTTACACAGTCTGGGGCAAGATCTCGGCATCACTCCTGAAGCCCAATGTACCTGTTACCTGCGTGAGAGACAGGTATGGCTCTTGTCTGCTAAAGTGCAATGTCTGCTTTCTTAATTTATGTGATAATAAAGCAATGCCATACAAAAGAAGAACCTTGGAAAATCATGGGGAAAACCACACAGGCTTTCCCAGTGCTAGCTGCCAGTTTTGGAGTATTAGTCACAACCTTTCCCAATTTTTAGAGCTGCAACGCAGGCTACCAACTGAGCGTCTTTCTGCTTTCACTTCATGGAGAACAAGGAAAAGGGAGATCTGAGCAAGGCGATGATAAGTCACCACTATAAAAATTTCTCAACTATACTGTCTGTGGCAAAAGCAGACAGCCTAGTTTAAGAGGGCAATGGTGACGGCATGGGCTCCAACAGGGTGCCCATATTACAGGGATGACTCGAGCCCCAGAATGTTAATCTCCCAGGGATTCACTGAGATATACAAGTTTAAAAAAATTCATATCAGAAAGGGCCTTTTGATTTAATATAAACGTGGCTATGACATCCAAATTTATCTTTAGGTAAATGTCACACTGCTCTTAGGATCTCTTGTAACATTGATTCTAGGTCATTCTGAAGAAAAAAATTTCATTCTGAAATATATCTAGTTAATTACGATAATTCATCAGAGCTCTACCTGATATAATCAAAAGGTTAAAAAAAAAGCTAAGCTACTTTCCTGTGGGATTAACAACTGGAACCCCAAAATCCCAACATCTTAATTAGAAAGGTCTTTGAAGTAATTCTATGAAATTGTACACGATACCAATTTTTTTTAAACTAACAAAAAGAGTTGATCTTTAGGATGAATGCTTGAGTCAGCTGACAAACTGATATAAAGGAGTACGTGCAAGGGGAATTCTCTAAATAGAGGGAAAAAATTTTTTTTTCCCACAAAGATAGCTGCTTTTTCTTTAAAGAGTTTAAAACTTGATGGTTCAACAGCAAAGCTATGTGACCACTCTGGAGTAGAAGGGAAGGGCTCTGCCAGCACACTGCCATCAGCTGGCAGAAGCAACCAGAAACAAGACAGGCAGGAGTGGCCCAGGAACACAATTAGGTCAGACAGAGCAATAGCACTCCCAGACCCCGGCTCCTTATAGAGGGACAGCAATCCACTCACGCACACTGCACAGAGATGAAACAAAACGAAAAGAAATGTACTAAAACAAAAGAAAACACACCCCCGAACCCAGAAAACCTTCCCTGGCTCTCTGCTACCGGAAGAAAGTGCCAAACCCCAGTTTTCTGCTCTAACGTGGATTCTGATGACCGATGGGTGAGCTCTGGGGTGCTGACCTGCTGGGCCCTGGGCAGGGCCTCTCCCTAAGCATCACTGAGAATTGGGGGACAGCTGTCATGTGCGACTGCCAGCAGACAGTACAGTGCCACAGGCCCACAGACCTCCATCACATCTGCCACCATTTTCAATGGTAAAACCAAAGGCTACAATTGTGAACAAATGTGGACTTTCTCCAAAGACAGATGAGGAGACGGAAGGCTACAACATGTCCCTCCTTGACAGAGGTTGGGGGAGGGTGTCTACAGTTACACCACAGGTTTGTGCCAAGCTGTGGTAACTTTCAAAAGCCAGAGTAGCAGCAAGAGAGGAAAGGAAGATGTTTACACTTTGGACTTTGTATCAGGCACTTAAATTGTTGGAGAGACATGCCATTTGGAACCAAAGATGTGAAGACTGGGCTGGAGTAATCATGACGAGTGGTCTAACAATGGGCTTTCAGAAGCAAAGTGGAGGTGTGGGTTGAACCTCTCCCATCCTTTAGTGCTGACTTTCAAGTCTTCTAAGTGCCCACGGCCATGGCAATGGCAGCGGCGGTGGCAACAGCAGGAACGGTTCTGTCCTGTCTTCTGTTTGTGTTCTGTGGCTGACCGGAAGTTTCTGGTTGTCACACTGAGAAGGCTCTGGGGTGTGGCACACCTACTGCCCGGGATCGATCAGATCCATGCTGGAGCCAAACATCTTCACCAGCTGTTCCTCGTAGTGCGAGATGTTCCTCTTCATGATGTCCATGCAGGGCCCCAGCAGCCTCTCGAACGCTTGCACATCCATAACTGTATTGTTAGAAAGAGGTGAGGGAGAGAATGAGTTCTCCACACCAGCAAGTCAAAGTCGCTTCCCTCACGTAAACCTTTTCTTAAACATGTCCATTCCTGCTGGAGGAATCAGACTACTGGATACTGGACACTTGCAAAAGACGGGGTGTTATGTGGACATAGCAGGGCTATGTCATCTAAGTTTGAGATTTTGGACAGTGTAGCAGCACCCATTCTCTCTGTCCCCACACAACCCTGCACACTAGTCTCCGTCTCTGCTCTTTCCACACAGGCCGGGGGCTTCTATGCCCGTCTTACTCACAGGCTATTGTCAGTGCTCAGGAATATTTGCTAAAAGAACACATTCACCTATTTCTGGTTGGTCACACAAACTGTGCAAGCTTAGATGTGAGAGCTGGTGGAGTAAGTCAAGGCGTGTTGATGGGGGAAAAATACTGCATATTAGGGAAAAAAAAAATATTAATGCACAAAGCATCTTTCTTACCTAAGCATTTCACATCTCCCACTGCATAAGCTGAAGCAGCTCTGGGTTTGTTGGTGACCAGTGCAAGCTCTCCAAAGTACTGCCCCTTGTGGCAACGCGCAATCTCGACCTCCTGGTTCTCACCATCCTTGTTGACTTTAGTCTAGAACAGGTAGAGAAAACAACTGATTTCAGAATCGCAAGTAGACATGTCCAACTGCGTACCTTTGCAGTCCCTTCTCAGTACACTTACCACAATTACCTAGAGATTCATGTTGCAGAGACTGACTGCATTGTGTAAACTGCATGAGTTACTCTCAGGGGCCTGGTTTTTACCAAGAGGTGAGGGGTGTGTGTGCGTGTGTGTGTGTATATATATTATTGTAGTATATATTATATACTAATATTACACATTAATGTAATACAGCATATAAACCAATATATAATATGTTAATATACTTTAACATATATTAAATGTATGGAATATTTAATATACTACATGTACATTTAAATATATTATGTATATGAATGCAATCCATGTGGTAGATGCTGACTTCTGAGACACAAGGGAAAAGACAAAGTTTTTTGCTAATTCTTCCTAAATAATGTCAATCCTTCTCTTGGTTAAAGAGTTATAATTCAGAGCTACTTCTTTTTGATTTAAGGCCCAGCAGGACTCAGACAATACATTACAGAGAACGATTTTATTTTTATGTACTATCTGCATCTTAAACTAGTGATTCCACTACATTTGTTTAGAACAGTTAAGTAACTAAAAATTTTTTTATAGTAATTTGAATTTTGAAACGATAGTTTAAGAAATCAAACAGGTTATATTTTGTGCTTTTTGAATTACTGAAAATAATGTACTATATTTTACTATCTAGTTTTTTTTTAAACAAACCTATCTGCTAAGCTAAGCAATGACTTGTTTAAATAAAAAAATACTTATAACTTATTAGTAAGAATTAGTTTCAATCTGTAAGAGCCACTGTTTGGCAGGGGCAGATAAATAATTTTTTGAAGGTTAATTTAGCGGAATAAATAAAAGCACCACGCTCACTTACATGGTTTGATTTTCCCTCCTTCCACACCTCTGCCCTGACCTGTTTGCTCTGACGCTGATCTGCCCCTTCCGAGCCAATGCTCTCTCTCCAGCCTCTGTCATATTCTCTGGGGCTGCAGACTTGCTCATGTCCGCCTAGTCCCTTCTCTAGAGCAGCACTTATCCCACTGTATTGTGAACACCAACCCCCTGCAGGTTTTCATACAACGCAGATTCTGATTCGGTAGGTCTGGGGCAGAGAACAAGACTGAATCTCTGAGACAAGCTCCCCTTCTTTCCCAATCCAGTGCCACAGTGCTGTTGGACCTACAAACATAATACTATGCTGTGATCAGTAGGTGTCAATGAATATGAGAAATGTATGAATTTTATCAGTAGTCCAGAAACTATAAGTAAAAAAAATTTTAATTAGGAATCAAGCCATCTTATAGGCAGTAATCATATTTTTCTTTCTCCATTGTTGCTGTTTAGTTGCTCAGTCGTGTCCGACTCTTTGTGACCCCATGGACTGTAGCCTGCCAAGCTCCTCTGTCTATGGGATTTTTCAGGCAAGAATACTGAACTGGGTTGCCACTTCCTTCTCCAGGGGATCTTCCTGATCCAGGGATCCAACCCGCGTCTCTTGCAGTGACCAGAAGATTCTTTACCACTGAGTCACTGGCGAAGTCCTCTTTCTCCACACTTAACTTTTACACAAAGTATTCTGTAAAAGGTTTCACACTAAGTTGATTTAGTATTATATAGTAGTCAGTATTTTTAAAAATTCTTTATTCTTAAAAAAAACTGAAACAATATCTGATGATGATGAATTTATGGTAAGAATCACTCTTTCCACCTATAGGTCATTGTGTTTTCTAGGTCTCCCTATCCATGAAATGGCCACAATAATAACTGTCCTAGAGACTTCCTTCCTAGCATGCTAAAAAGGAAGCTTTTTTATAACCAACACTCACAATGTATTCTTTGTTATATATTCAATAATCTTCCCATTTTATATTAGGGTACTTACCCTTTTTCTTATTGATTTATAGGCCAGTACTTCTCATATCCTTAATTACATGACAGAGGTAAAAGCAACAAAAAAGATATATATACTAAATCTTTATCAATGAATGGGCTTAAACCTTGATCTCTGTCAGTCACATATCTCACGTAACGATGATTCCGGCACATGAAACACACTTCACACTATTAAAGCAGTTACGGTCTGTGCATATACCTGGCATCTGGATCTCCCCTGAAACAACTCACATCGTCACGCGTAAACTCACCTTGCTTTTGATCAAGATGCTCACTTCACCGGACTCTATAATGTAAAAGCTATCAGCCTTTTCACCCTGAAAAGGGAGAGGAGGTGAGGTCAGGGCCATACATATGTACTAAGGGACACAGAAATAGACAATCTTCACATTGCCTGAGCTCCGATTTTATTTATTTTCCAAACCTACAAACCAGTCAATGGCTAACAAATTCAGAACAAAAACGGGAGGATCCTGATCACCAGGGATGTCAGTCCAACTACGACTGACAAACATCTCTTCTTCCTAACGTGGAATATTCCCATCTGTCTCCGTGAATATACCCAGGCTGGTAACTGCACAGATTGTATTCTTACAGCTCATGTTGGTCAGCTAACCAGACCTATGATAAGGGGTAAGTAGCCAAGTCGGCTGCATGCAGTATCAAGGTGACTCCTGGCTAACCCTGGGTCATGAAGCCCAGCGATGATCTCCCCCATCAAATACAGCCCTCCAGAGGACAGCGTGGAGCTAGAGAAAGCACTGCCTTGATGAGGCAAGTGTCTTCATGGGGGATGATGTCACTCTTATAAGTCTCAGGCTTTGCTTTGCTTGTTTTGATGTTAAACCACTTAGCTGAACCAGTTATTCAGGTAATTCAACAAATAATTATTATGTGCCAGGCATGAGAGATAAATCAGTGGATAAACAATATCCCTACCCTTGTGGAAATTACAGTCTGGTACGGTAAACAAACTGTAAATGACCAACACAATGAATCAGTAAATTATGCTGCTGTACTGGAAGGCAATAAGGGCCATAGGAAAAAAGTAGAGCAGGGAATGTGGGATCTGCAGTGGTGAGGGAAGAGATGTTATATAGCATACAGGAGCACTTCAGTGAGAAGGTGAGATGTGAGTGAAGCCTGAAAGGAGGTGAGAGGTAGGCAAGCAGATATGGAAGAGGAGGCTCTCAGGCAATCAGTCTCTGACTTCACTTAACTTCTGAAGCAAAGACCATCTACATTGAATAATTCAATACTACTCATGTGCTCTCATTCCATGTGACGGGTTGTATGTCTTCATAAGACTTCACGTCCTTCATGCACCACACAAGGACCGCAGACAGCTGTGGTTGACATTCCTGAGTTAATCTAGTCCCAGGTTACCATATAATAATCACTGCTCCATAGCCTTATAAGGGGCTGTCTGTGGATTTCTGTGTTGTTATGTTGGGTAGGTACCCTGCATCCTTTGGTAGACAGATCAAACCAGTCAATCCTAAAGGAAATCAGTCCTGAATATTCATTGGGAGGACTGATGCTAAAGCTGAAGCTCCAATATTTTAGCCACCTGATAGGACGGACTGACTCCTTGGAAAGACCCTGATGCTGGGAAAGACTGAAGGCAGGAGGAGAAGGGGACGACTGAGGACAAGATGATTGGATGGAATCATTGATTCGATGGACATGAGTTTGCGCAAGCTCCGGAAGCTGGTGATAGAGAAGCCTCGAGTGCTGCAGGCCATAGGGTTGCAAAGAGTGGGACACGACTGAGTGACTGAACTGACCCTAAATCCAGCAGAACCAAATCACCAATAAGTTCTATTGGTGTAATACAAATAGCATTAGGATATAAGTTGATGAAGGATGGGAAGCCATGAAGGAAACGAAAGAGGAGACAGACTCAGGGCCACCAAGAGGGAAAATCGTTTCTAGGTCCAAGAAAGGAGTTTCATAAAGGAAGATGTGATTACTAGTGTTCAGTGCTGCCGGGAGGTCAAGAGTAATAGTCGAATGTACGGAAACACCCTGGTGACCAAGAAGAGTGGTGAGCGGTAGAGAAGAACTGTAGAAGTGAGAAGTGGTAAAGGGCGGTGTCCGAGCCCTTTGTTTAGAAAGATATATAACAATCATAATTTAAAGTGCTCATTTCAATGCTACAGCTTGATGAATTTTTACATTTGTATACACCTGTGTAACCACCCCTAGATCAAATGAAAACTGCCTGAGTGACCCCACTTTTACATTCTTGTGCCCAAATTCCTACTCTTTTGTTTGTGTGTATGTGTTAGTCGCTCAATCGTGTCTGATTCCTTGTGACCCCATGGACTACAGCCTGCCAGGCTCCTCTGTCCATGGGATTTTCCAGGCAAGAATACTGGAGTCGGTTGTCATTTCCTTCTTCAGAGGATCTTCCCGACCCAGGGACTGAACCCAGGCCTCCCTCATTGCAGACTCTTTACCGTCTGAGCCACCAGGGAAGATACTCTTATGTCTGAGGTATACCAATAAGGAGTAAACCTCAAAACCCTGGGCACCGCAAGCACCGTCACCCCAGTAAAGGCAACTCCAGGTCAGCACATGCGCATGTATGGACTTTCCCCTGTGAACTCACTGTGTGGCTCTGGGCCTGCCCCTCAGGACCTGTGAGTAATAAACCTTGTTTTTTCAAAGTTCCCATATGGTTGTTGCTCAAGGTGCATCTTGTAATCATAATAAGAACCAGAAGGGCTGGTCCAGCTACAGCGTTGGCTCTGCCAGGGTAAATGTTTGTGAAGGCTCACCGCAAGTATTAACAGTATGGGCACAGATGAGTGCCCCAGGCATTCCTAGCCAACAGCATCACTTTCAATAGGCTGAGACTGTAACAAAAGACTCACTATTAAGATGTCAACTACTCCCCAAACTTATCTATAGATTCAACTTACGTAATTCCAATAAAAAAGCTCAGCAGGTCTTTCTGATAGAAGTTGATAAGCTGGTTGTAAAATATATACAGAAATGCAAAGAGCATAGCAGAGACAAAATAATTAAGACAAAGAACAACAAATTTGGAGGGGTTTAAGGAGGTCAGTGTATGGCAAAACCAATACAATGTTGTAAAGTAAAATAAATAAACTAATTTAAAAAAATTTGGAGGGCTTTAAACTATCTGATTGAAAGATTTACTATATAAAGCTATTGTAATCAAGACAATACAGCATTAACTGAGAGACAGGCATAGATTAGTGGAACAAGAGAGACCAGACATATATGGGCGACTGATTCTCACTGCAAGTGTCCAGGCAATGGAACAGGAAAATGGTGCTCAAGTTATTGGACATCCATATGAAAAGCGCAAAACCTTCTCTATCTTGTAATTAATTCAAAATGGATCATAGATCTAAATGTAAGATCTAAGACTATGAGACTAGAATTGCATGACTCAGGACAGGAGCCACTAGTCACATGTCACTACTGAGCACCTGAACTGTGGCTTGTATAGATTCATAGGTGCTCTAAGTGTAAAATATACGTTGAATTTTAAAGACTGAATATCCTCCAAATGTAAAATATCTCATTATTAAATTGTTGTATCACTTAGATGTTGAAATGTAATATTTTAGATATAGTAGGTTAAAATACCCTATTAAAGTTCACCTGTTTTTTTTTTTTAATTTGGCTACTAAAATACTTTAAATTGTATGTGGCTCACACAATATTTCTACTGAACAGTACTTATCTAGAAGTTAAATAAGAGAAAATCTTATTAATTATACAAACTTTTTTTTTTAAAGTAGGACACAGTGAATTACAAGAGGAAAAAAATGACAAACGACTTGTCAAAATTTAAAACTTTTGCTGTTTAAAAGGTATTACTAATACAATGAAGTGACAAGCCTCCACATTCTGGGAGAAATATTTACAAATCATTTGCCTGGTAAAGGATTTGTTCTTAGAGTAAATAAAGAATTCTTACAACTCAGGGGATTCCCTGGTGGCTCAGTGGTAAAAAAAATTCACTTGCCAATGCAGGGGACACAGGTTCAATCCCTGATCAGGGATATCCCACAAGCTGTGACTAAGTCCATGGGCCATAACTACCGAGCCAGAGATCCAGAGCCAACGTTTCGCAGCAAGAGAAACCACTGCAATGAGAAGCCAGGGCACTGCAACTAGAGAGTCGCCTCCGCAACTGCAGAAGGCCTGCATGCAGCAAAGAAGACCCAGCACAGCCATAAATAAATAATCTTTTTTAAAGAATTCTTACAATTCAATATATTAAGAAGCTTAATGACCTAATTTAAAATAGGGCAAAAGGTGTACTTTACCAAAGAAAACATATGGATGAAAAGCAATCACAGGAAAAGATGCTCACCATCATTAGACATTATGTAGATGTAAAATAAAACCAAAATGAGATATTCACACTAAGATGGCTAACATTAAAGACCTGATACTAAGTGCTGATGTGGATGCACAGCAACTGGAACTCTTGAACACTGTTGGGGGAATGCACAATGGTACAGACATCTTAAAAAACATTTTGGCAACCTGTGAAACAAATGTTTACCATGTGACTCAGCAATTCCATAAAAACATATATCCATGCAAAGACTTGTATGTGAATGCTCATTGCAGCTTTATTCATAACTGCCAGAATTTGGAAAGACCCCAAATGACTCTCAACTGGTGAGTGGAAAGACAAGCTATGGTACATCTGTATAACGGAATACTATTCTCCAACAAAAAGGAATTATCCTCTGAAACATACAACATAGATAAACCTCAAAAACATTACACTAACAGAAAGAAGTGAGACACAAAAAAACTACACATTATATGGTTTCATTTGTGTGAAATTCTAGAAAAGGAATTTCTAAAGTGACAAAGCAGATCAGTGGTTTTCAGGAATAAGGGGGTGGGTGAGGGGATTTAGTTAAAATACAAAGAAGCAGCTTTTTGAGGTGATTAGAAAAGCTCTACACTATGATTATAGGGGTGGTTATAAAACTCTCAAATTGTATACTTAAACTTGGTAATTTTATTGTATGTCAAATTTAGGGTAACAAAGCTGACCAAACAAACAAGCAGAAAAACAAAACAACATAAAGTGTGGTTTTTGCAGTTAGTCTGGCGTGGGGTCCAGGAACCAGAATTCCTAACAGTTTCTAACATTCTAATATAATGCTAATACTCCTAGTCCTCAGAGAAGTCTTGATCAAGAGACACTGCCAAAAGGGGTCTATAATAAGGTGGGTGTCATCTTAATTTGTGTCCATTCTGCACTACCACCTAGCACTCCTAACTTCAAGAACACAGATATCCCAGAAAACAATGTGGGTTTTTATAGCTCTTGATATACCTCCTGAAGGCCTGGGGCTTTCAGGACAAAGTAGAGGTCTTCTGGGGGTAAATTAAAGTGCTGTAGGTTCAGAAACAAATGTGGCCAGTCAACACACTCCATCTCGGCAACTCAGTTGCACGTTCTTCCCATACCAGGACACCTGGCCTGGAACACAGCTCACACCCACGGCCTTTGCTTATACTGTTCTCTTGCCCTGGAAGATCTTTCCCTGACCTCAACTGCTGAAAATGCACTTGTTCTTTCAGCTTAGTTCAAAGGTTGGTTCCTCTATGAAACCATATGGAATACTTCCTTTTCTACATTCTCACTGTCATTCTTTCCCCTCTCATTATAGCACTTAAATCTGGTCCTACTTGTCTATCTTAACAAATACTTACTGAATCAAATCAACTTCTAATTAAAAGAATTATTAACAGTAGGGCTATCTGGAAAACAAAGGCATTTGGAGATGCCACTTAGACACCATTTATTTGTTAGTCCTTTTTCTTTGGGAGCAGCTCTCTCTCCTTCTGCGATCAGCCTGATTAATTTCTGTGGCACTGGTTGGGTCAACTCCACCTCCAGGCCCCAAGGGTGGCCTGGGGATTTAGGTTTGTCCACTCCGAGTCTTCCTTCTAGCCCCAAATTGAGGTTCAAGGAGGGCACATACCTCAACCCAGACCAACCAGACATCTCCCCAGTGCTCCTTTTGTTTTTTTTAATTAAAAAAATTTTTTTGGCTGCAGTGTGTGGCTTCTGAGATCTTAGCTCCCAGCCTGACCACGGATTGAACTCATGACTCCTGCAAAAGCATGGAGTCCTAACCACTTGACTGCCAGGGAAGTCTCATTCCCAGTGATCTTACCAGAACCACTCACAGAGAAGTTTATAATATGGAAATGGAAATATAAAATGGAAAAATCTATAATACCTTTTATATACAATTAAAAAAGCAAACACAGTAGATAAAGAAAATTATCACACAGCACTCATCATGATGCTCAAGTCCACTGTGTGGTGACCCTCACAGGACCTGCAGTTAACATGACAGAAGGGTACAAAGGAAACACTAAAGGGACCTCAGATACCTGGCCTGCCACTGAAGGCTGCTGGGTACGGGGTTAGCTAAGAGAGACCTTGGGCCAAACAGAGAGAGAAAATACACAACCCGCTGACCTCCAGGTTTTAACAGTGATGAAGGAGGCATACTCAGGGTGAAAAGTAAACGATATCCAAAAGAACAAAACCAGAAGGCAAGGAAAGGTGAACAGAGGCCAGAGATGAACATCAATGGGCTTCAGAAGATTCTGCAGGAAGTGTGCCTGAGTACTTAGCAACATGAGTTCCCCAGGATGAGTGGACAAACGACGCACCAGTCCTTCAGAAGGTGACTTTCGAGAAAGGAGTTGCCTGAGGTCCCCACTCACCTGAGTGATTATGCGCTCTCCATCCTTGTAGACCTTTTCTCCTATTACATCCACGATCTTCATTCGTTCTGACACCTGAAACAAAGAACACATAAATTCTAAGGAAAAGACCTTAAATAAAAGTCACAGACAGTATCTATACAACACTGAAATGGGCTAGAATAGTATGAATTAAGAAACCTAACAAAAGAATTGTTTTAACAGCTTTTAAGTCCCCATATACAGACTCTTATTAAAATAGGCTTTACCTCTAGTGATTTAAGAAGTGGCACAGATTCAATAAATGATTCAAACATCTTCCTCTTTTTTGCATTGTTTTTCACTATGATCCTTCTAAATGTCACACGGTCCTGTAAAAAATAATATGAAAATTCTGGTGAACGCCTGTATAAGAGAGCATCTGTGATTTAATTAAAACTATGCCACAGCAAAGATTAGAGGTATTTGGAAGGTACTGGATCAACTGAGTGTTTAATGATATTTCAATTTGAGTCATCACTAGAAGAAAAAGATCTGCAGCCTGGACAAGACAGATGTCTCATGTTGTCACTTGCTGTCAAGTACTCAATGAGTGCCACCTATGGGTCATAAATAAAATAAAAAATAAAAAAAGTACCAAACATTTGTGAGCTCATAGTCACTGTTCAAAGTGAGAAGATACACCTTCCAAAAAAAAAAAAAAGGAGATAAAACAGTAAGATGGTTCTTGCCCTCAAGGACTTTATAATCTCAATGGGGAAGTAATACAAAATTTAAAGGAATAAAAAACCACAGTTCAAGACTGCATATGAAATTTGCTAGGTGAACTACAGAGACAAAGCAAGTCCTACAAGAATTCTGAGGAGAGAGAGCATTCACAATAGCCTGGAGTGATCAAGGAAAATTTTGCTGCAAAAATATAAATTTGTCTGGTATCCAAAGGGGAGGTAGGTTTTATAAATTAATGGAGAAAGAAAGTAGGAAACTCAAGATGGAAGGCAGGCATGTGAAACATATCTTGAGCAAGTCAGGGATTCAAACTCAAGACAGTTAACCAGAGTTATGGTCAGGTACTTCTCAAATACATGTATGCGTGTGTGGGGAGGGACATGCAGCCAGGAGAATGTTAATTGCTTAGGCTCCTACAAGGTTAGGCAGTTTTTTATACCTCAGTTAATTGCACCTTTCTTCTACCTTGGGCTCTCAGGAACAGAAAGATTTTTTTTTTTTAAGTATACTAATATCCTAAAGGTTGAAACAATGAAAAACAGTAAGGGGGTAGGGTAAATTTAGGTGCAGGTTTGCTATTTTAGTATTTTGATGATGGGGTGGGAGCTGGGTGGAGAAAACACATAGAAGACAACTGAGTAGAGATGTCTAAACAGACTTCACTGACTCATATGCCAGCAGAATTCCCTGGTCAAATCCCATGCCAAGTTCCATCTGCAGGAGAAATCACTTCCTGTACCCTGTGCTCCTGGTATAAAATGTGGCAGACTCCTACCCTCCCTTCCTAAGTGAAGAGAAGTGAAGTGGCTCAGTCATGTCCGACTCTTTGCGACCCCATGGACTGTAGCCTACCAGGATCCTCAGTCCATGGGATTCTCCAGGCAAGAATACTGGAGTGGGTTGCCATTTCCTTCTCCAGGGGATCTTCCCGACCCAGGGATCAAACCGGGGTCTCCTGCATTGTAGGCAGACGCTTTACTGTCTGAGCTACCAGGGAAGCCCCTTCCCTTCCTAAACTGACATACAAATAATGTCTGTGCCCTGGCATTAAGCCAGACTCTGCCCCCGTTTTCTTCTCCATCTGTCTGCTTGCAAAGCGCCATGCAATCCCTGATTGCTCTCATGGGCTGCACCACTTGCCACTACTTTTTTGAAGTCCAAGGCTGGAGATGTATTAGTATCATTTAAAATGTTACTGTTGTACTTTGGAATATCACTCCATTATCTTTAGACTTCAGTTTCCATGTGTTTTCTGGGCCAGTCAAGGCCATGGGTGCTATGAAAAGACAACACTCAAGATTGAGACAATGGGAGTTATGAAGTTCCCTTCCTTATGTTTGAGTAGACATTGTCAAAAAACCAGTATTTCTAAATTCATTTATAATGTTACAAAGTGAAAGTGTTAGTTGCTCAATGGTGTCTGAGCAGAGACTGTGAAGCAGTTGCCCCTAGTAAAAGAAGGAATATGGAATCCAATCTGAGAAACTCAGTGGCAACACCAGGTACTCCCTGATTTAGCCTCAGAAGGCATTTCCAAGACCTTGGGAGGCACAAGTGAGAAGTCACACTGTGGAGGACGCTCTAGGGGTCACTCTCCTGAAGGAAGTACTGAAGCGTTGGAAGGGCTTGGACTGTAAAGCAGGAGAAAAAGACATTTAAAAAGATCACTGCCGCTTAAGGCAGCAGGGAGATGAATCTCACTTAAGATAGCAGGAACAGGAAGAAAGACTGGACAGGATAAGGCGAGGAAATAGAATGGCAGAGCAGGGATCTCAGGAGAGGGAGCTTCAGGAAGAGAAGGGTGGTGAGCAGCCCCACAACCAAGGGGAGCAGGTGCCCCCACTCTGTAGCACCCAACATACGCCAGGCACTAAGGAAATGGCTTCTCTTGTGTCCTTCTGTTAAATTCTCATATCCCAACCAGAAGGCAAGCAGTTTTTTTTTTTTCCATTTATTTTTATTAGTTGGAGGCTAATCACTTTACAGTACTGCAGTGGGTCTTGCCATACATTGACATGAATCAGCCATGGATTTACATGTATTCCCCATCCCGATCCCCCCTCCCACCTCCCTCTCTACCCGATCCCTCTGGGTCTTCCCAGTGCACCAGGCCCGAGCACTTGTCTCATGCATCCAACCTGGGCTGGTGATCTGTTTCACTATAGATAATATACATGTTTCGATGCTGTTCTCTTGAAACATCCCACCCTTGCCTTCTCCCACAGAGTTCAAAAGTCTGTTCTGTACATCTGTGTCTCTTTTTCTGTTTTGCATATAAGGTTATCATTACCATCTTTCTAAATTCCATATATATGTGTTAGTATGCTGTAATGTTCTTTATCTTTCTGGCTTACTTCACTCTGTATAACGGGCTCCAGTTTTATCCATCTCATTAGAACTGATTCAAATGAATTCTTTTTAATGGCTGAGTAATATTCCATCATACCACAGCTTCAAAAATATGGAACGCTTCACGAATTTGCATGTCATCCTTGCGCAGGGGCCATGCTAATCTTCTCTGTATCATTCCAATTTTAGTATATGTGCTGCCGAAGCGAGCATGGCAAGCAGTTTTAATAAATTTCTATTGAGATTTTCAGGTTACTTAGGAATGGGTTAATTTCCAAGTGTTTGGAGATCTTCCTGTTATCTTTCTGTTACTGATTTCTGGTTTCATTCCATTGTAGTTAGAGAACACACTGTCTGATTTCAATTCTTTTGAATTTGCTAACTTTTTATATCCCAGGATATATGTAGTTTATCTCAGTGAACACTCATGGGCTTGAAAAGAATGTGTATTCTCTGTTATGTGACATGTCCTATAAATTTCAATTGGACCCTTTTGGTTGATGGTGGTGTTAAATCCTATAACCTTCCCGATTTTCTTTCTAGTTATTTTATCAATTGTTGAGAAAGGAGTGTTGAAGTCTGCAAATACAGTTGTGGATTTATCTATTTTTTTCTTTCAGTCTATCAGTTTTAGCTTTACATATTCTGAAGCTCTGTTGTTTGGTATATACAGATTTAGGGCTTCTATGTCTTCTTGGTAGATTAAGTCTTTCATTATTATGAAAATAACAGAGTTAGGGTTTCTGTTGCATCTGGTAATTTTCTCTGCCATGAAATCTACTTATCTGATACTAACTTAATTTCTTCTGACTTCTTCTGGTTAATGTTTGCCTAGTATATCTATTACTGTCCTTTTACTTTCAACCTACCTATATTATAATATTTGAGTGAGTTTCTTATAAATATCATATTGTTGGGTCATTTAAGATAATCCATTCTACCAGTCTCTGTCACTTAATTGGCATATACAGATCATCTATAGAGACAAATCATATGTCAGGGCCTACACCTATCATTTTATTCCATGTTTTCTGTTCTCCCCTCTGTTTTCTGTTCTTCTATTTCACTTTTCTTGCCCTTCCACAGGTTACCTGAATTACTTTTTAGAATTCCTTTTGATTTGTACAGTTTTTGAGTGTATCTCTGCACAGATTACTTTAGTGGTTGCTCTATGTATTATATTTACATATATAACTTACCATGGTCTACTGGTGTCAACATTTTAGAAGTGTGAGTAAAGTGTAGAAGCTTAACTTTCATTTAGGCCCCTTTGAAATATTTCCTCTACATACAGTGAGAATCACATAAGACAATGTTATAATTTTGCTTCAAGCATCTAACCTAAAGAGGAGGATAGACTTTTACGTCTATCCATATGTTTACTCTTTTGGTTGTTCTTTCTTCATTCTTGGTATTCCAAATCTCCTTTTTTCACTTCCGTTCTGTTTATAGAACTTCCTTTAGTCATTCCTTCAAGGTAGGCCTGCTGGTGACAGAGTTTCTGTTTTCTTTTACCTGAGAATATCTTCATTTCTGAAGGATAGTCTCATGACGTATAGAATTTTCAGTTGACAGTTCTTTTCTTTCAGTTCTTGAAAAATTCTGGATACATGGCAATTAATAAGAAAACCTGGGGAACTCACTGTTGTATCCTTCCTTAAGTCTTGAAAGCCCTAGCCAGTCCACCTTCTCGTTTCCTTCTCTCAGGGTCACCTATGTTCGTCTGTTGTATGATATCCAGAGTTTTCTAGCTTTAAGGGGGAAGACTAGGGAGGAATGGGGCTATTCTGTCTTGGCCTAGACTAGAAGTTGTCATCAACGTATTTTAAAACTGAGTTTATTTTCCCCCATTATTTCTTGATCTATGATCTATGTTGAATATTTTAAGCACTGGGTTCCCAAGTGTGTGATGTATTCTTAAGCCAGTGTATTACTCATCTCTCAGGACCAATCTTTTTTTTTTTCTTTGTGGCTGCACCACACCACATTCAGGATCCTAGTTCTCTGTGGGAACTAGGAATCAAACCTGAGTCCCCTGCTGTGGAAGCAAGGAGTTCTAACCACTGGACTTCCAGGGAAGTCCTGCTCAGTTCAGTTCAGTCGCTCAGTCGTGTCCGACTCTTTGCAACCCCATGAACTGCAGCACGCCAGACCTCCCTGTCCACCACCAACTCCTGGAGTACACCCAAACCCATGTCCATTGAGTCGGTGATGCCATCCAACCATCTCATCCTCTATCGTCCCCTTCTCCTCCTGCCCTCAATCTTTCCCAGCATTGGGGTCTTTCCTAATGAATCAGCTCTTCGCATCAGGTGGCCAAAGTGCTGGAGTTTCAGCTTCAACATCAGTCCTTCCAATGAACACCAAGGACTGATCTCCTTTAGGATGGACTGGTTGGATCTCCTCGCAGTCCAAGGGACTCTCAAGAGTCTTCTCTAACACCACAGTTCAAAAGCATCAATTCTTTGGCACTCAGCTTTCTTGATAGTCCAACTCTCACATCCATACATGACCACTGGAAAAACCATAGCCTTGACTAGACCGACCTTTGTTGGCAAAGTAATGTCTCTACTTTTTAATAGGCTGTCTAGGTTGGTCATAAGTTTCCTTCCAATGAGTAAGTGTCTTTTAATTTCATGCCTGCAATCACCATCTGCAGTGATTTGGAGCCTGAAAAAATAAACTCAGCCACTGTTTCCCCATCTATTTCCCATGAAGTGTTGGGACCAGATGCCATGATCTTAGTTTTCTGAATGTTGAGTTTTAAGCCAACTTTTTCACTCTCCTCTTTCACTTTCATCAAGAGGCTCTTTAGTTCTTCTTCACTTTCTGCCATAAGGTGGTGTCATCTGCATATCTGAGGTTATTGATATTTCTCCCAACAATCTTGATTCTAGCTTGTGCTTCCTCCAGCCCAGCATTTCTCATGATGTACTCTGCATATAAGTTAAATAAGCAGGGTGACACTATATAGCCTTGACGTACTCCTTTTCCTAGGAACCAGTCTGTTGTTCCATGTCCAGTTCTAACTGCTGCTTCCTGACCTGCATACAGATTTCTCAGGAGGCAGGTCAGGTGGTCTGGTATTCCCATCTCTTTCAGAATTTTCCACAGTTTATTGTGATCCACACGGTCAAAGGCTTTGGCATAGTCAATAAAGCAGAAATAGATGTTTTTCTGGAACTCTCGTGCTTTTTCGATGATCCAGCAGATGTTGGCAATTTGATCTCTGGTTCCTCTGCCTTTTCTAAAACCAGCTTGAACATCGGGAAGTTCACAGTTCACGTATTGCTGAAGCCTGGCTTGGAGAATTTTGAGAATTACTTTACTAGCATGTGAGATGAGTGCAATTGTGTGGTAGTTTGACCATTCTTTGGCATTGCCTTTCTTTGGAATTGGAATGAAAACTGACCTTTTCCAGTCCTGTGGTCACTGCTGAGTTTTCCAAATTTGCTGGCATATTGAGTGCAGCACTTTCACTGCATCATCTTTCAGGATTTGACATAGCTCAACTGGAATTCCATCACCTCCACTAGCTTTGTTCATAGTGATGCTTCCTAAGGCCCACTTGACTTTGCATTCCAGGGTGTCTGGCTCTAGGTGAGTGATCACACCATCGTGATTATCTGGGTCATGAAGATCTTTTTTGTACAGTTCTTCTGTGTATTCTTGCCACCTCTTCTTAATATCTTCTGCTTCTGTTAGGTCCCTACTATTTATGTCCTTTATTGAGCCCATCTTTGCATAAAATGTTCCCTTGGTATCTCTAATTTTCTTGAAGAGATTTCTAGTCTTTCCCATTCTATTGTTTTCCTCTATTTCTTTGCACTGATCACTGAGGAAGGCTTTTTTAATCTCTCCGTGCTATTCTTTGGAACTCTGCATTCAAATGGGTATATCTTTCCTTTTCTCCTTTGCTTTTTGCTTCCCTTCTTTTCACAGCTATTTGTAAGGCCTCCTCAGACAGCCATTTTGCTTTTTTGCATTGCTTTTTCTTGGGGATGGTCTTGCTCCCTGTCTCCTGTACAATGTCACAAACATCCGTCCATAGTTCATCAGGCACTCTATCAGATCTAGTCCCATAAATCTATTTCTCACTTCCACTGTATAGTCATAAGGGATTTGATTTAGGTCATACCTGAATGGTCTAGTGGTTTTCTCCACTTTCATCAATTTCAGTCTGAATTTGGCAATAAGGAGGTCATGATCTGAGCCACAGTCAGCTCCCAGTCTTGTTTTTGCTGACTGTATAGAGCTTCTCCATCTTTGGGTGCAAAGAACATAATCAACCTGACATCGGTGTCGACCATCTGGTGATGTCCATGTGTAGAGTCTTTTCTTGTGTTGTTGGAAGAGGGTGTTTGCTATGACCAGTGCGTTCTCTTCAGAAATCTATTAGCCTCTGCCCTGCTTCATTCTGTACTCCAAGGCCAAATTTGCCTATTACTCCAGGTGTTTCTTGACTTCCTACTTTTGCATTCCAGTTCCCTATAATGAAAAGGACATCTTTTTTGAGTGTCAGTTCTAGAAGGTTTTGTAGGTCTTCGTAGAACTGTTCAACTTCAGCTTCTTCATGGTTACTGGTTGGGGCACAGACTTGGATTACCGTGATATTGAATGGTTTGCCCTGGAAACGAACAGAGATCATTCTGTCGTTTTTGAGACTGCATCCAAGTACTGCATTTCGGACTCTTTTGTTGACTATGATGGCTACTCCATTTCTTCTAAGGGATTCCTGCCCACAGTAGTAGACATAATGGTCATCTGAGTTAAATTCACCCATTCCAGTCCATCTTAGTTCACTGATTCCTAGAATGTCGATGTTCACTCTTGTCATCTCCTATTTGACCACTTCCAATTTGCCTTGATTCATGGACCTAATATTCCAGGTTCCTATGCAATATTGCTCTTTATAGCATCAAACCTTGCTTCTATCACCAGTCCCATCCACAACTGGGTGTTGTTTTTGCTTTGGCTCTATCCCTTCATTCTTTCTGCAAAATCCTGCTCGGGAGCATTCTTTTTTTTTTTTTTAGGAGCATTCTTAATTCTGCACTAGTATAGCACAATAAAGTGCTTTAGTATGTCTTTAAAATGTGATTTTTTTTTTTTTTTAGGAAATATGTTGATAATTTCAATGTATACATTTAATTCTGCTTGTAGGGTAAATGGAAACAAATTACCATAGAGGTGAACATTTTAAAAACGAAATCTGGAATTTGTACAAGAGGATGATTCTTTTAAAAAGGAAAAGTTATATATTTTGAAGGCCTGATACTGAAGGATGAAAGGTGGGTCATGTATTAATAGAGGATAGGACCTTAGCAGTCGATGCCTAAGATATTCTGGGAAAGTTCTGGGAAAGTGCTGTCAGCCTTTCTGGTCATCTAAATCTACTGACTATTGGCATGGACCAATGAATAAACAGATGGTCAAACACCATCTGTTAGTGAAAAGTTAATCCTAGGATAGTTAGAGATGGAAAACACTTTTGGCAGAGCTTTCAATGACACTTATTTTTCTAGACTGGTCTCTTCTGTAGTTATCCTTCTTCTCTCTGCTTATCTGATAAAAACATAAGAAGAAAATGTGGTAAGAGCTGACACAACTGCTAGGTTACAAGACCCAGTCTTCTCCATGTATTTTGGAATAAACAGTCTATTGACAAATCACTTCAGGGAAATGGAAAAACACATAGGTTAAAACCTTCCACAGTGTCTTTTAGATAACCAGCTATAAAATATACTGTGAACGAACAGCCAAGGACAGAGACCCAGAAGTCAGGGAGAGTAATACCATGCTATGCAAGAACCATTTCTCTAACTCACCAGTCCCCAAAGGGAGCCTTCTGAAGTGGCGACAATGGTAGCAGCTCTCGGGGTATTGTACATCAGAGCTAGTTCTCCAAAACTTCCATGGTTGTCATACTGACCAACGGAGCGGGTTTGATTATCTTTTGTTACTAAAATATCATAGGTTCCCCTGGAAATACAATAAGAAACAACTTCATTTATAATGGGCAGGTATACACGAATAGACGGTATATATGATATACAATGTTGTTATTAGGGGAATTCCAACAGACTTTTTGCTAGTATATAGAAATATAATAGATTTTTGCATTTGACTTAGTATTATGTGACCTTGCTAAACTCATTTTATTAGTTCTAATGAGTGAACTTGGCATTTTCTAGAGGATCATGTCATCCACAAACAAAGATAGCTTTATTTTTCTTCCTTTCCAACCTGTATGCCCTTCCTCCCTCCCATCAGTTCTTCTTTCCTCACTCCTTCTTTTTCCTTGCTTTATTGCATCAGCTAGGACCTACAGTGTAATACTGCATGAAGAGGTGAAAGCAGACATGCTTCTCTGGTTCTCCATCTTAAAGGGAAAACATTCAGTTTTTCACCATTAAGTATGAAGTTAGCTATAGATTTTTTAAAATAAATACCTTTAATTAGGTTCGATAAAAGTCCCTTCTACTCCTATTTTACTGAGTTTTTACCATGAAAAGGTGCTAAACTTTGTCAAATGCTTTTCCCGGAGGTACTGAAATGACTGGTTGGGTTTTCTTTTGTAGCCTGTTGAAAACTAGGATGTAGAACTGATTAAAATTTTTTTTAAATACAATTTTCTCTCCATTGAGTGTTCACTAACAGTGGCTAAAGAAAAATATCCACAATGGACAGCATTTGGAGAAATAGGCACTCTCAATACACCACTGAAGCAAATGTAAACATTTCCAAATTTCTCCAAAATAATTAACAAAAGAACAAATTCCTTGGAGAGACCCTTTTACATAGTAATTCCATTTCTAGGCATTCTAAAGGAGATAATAGAAGATACTGGAAAATATTTAACTGCAAGGATGCTCACCCGGTAATATTTATAACAGCAAAAATCACAATTGTTAATCTGCTAACAATAAGATGGGTCAAATATATGTCTATATTGATATTATGCAGTCAATATAAATGATGACATAGAATAATATTGTATCCTATGGCAAACCACTTCAGACAGATTTTTAAAATCAAGCCAATGTACATGAAAACATATATATAAATTTAATAAAGAGTTAACTACATTTTACATGTTTGATTGTTACCAGCTTTGAAGCCCTACCACTCCAATACTTTTTCCTCTTCTGTCTCACATCTGGGAAAGTTGATAAGAAAACTTAGGTGCTCCCTCATTTGGTGTTGATGGGAAATCCAAATCGGACAAGAGCCTGCCCACATACAAGAGTACTCTACCTCAGCTCTACCTTCTAATACCATGAAATACCAAGCCAATCACCTCTCTGTGCTGCCTCAAGTCATTTCTGAACCTCCTGGGAACCTACCCTGTTCACCTTTAAAACACTCATTATGAGAATGATCAATCTTTTCATAGCCTTTTAGTCTGTGTGTGTGGTATGATCAGTCTTGATATCTGAACCAAATTTGGGGTAATGGATCTGACCAAACAGTAAGGCAAAGGGGAAACAAAGAAAAAATATACTCTGGTGATAAAATTAGGGCAAAATTACTTTCTTCCCTGTTTTGCTTGGTTTTTTTTTCTTAAATTTCCTACAAAGAGCCTCCACATGTCTGATAAAAATCACTAGGTATCACATGTTACACAAGAAGCAAAGAAGTGGTGATATAACTTAAAAATTTTTTTCTGCCACTACTCATAGAATTCTATGAAGGAAGCCTAAGCATGACAGATAGAAGTAAAAGACTCTTTAAGACTATATTATTTGTATCATCTTTCCTCTTTAAATAAAACATTTCCTTCCTAACTCTAATTGGAATCATTTGTCACAGTATCAAGGGCCCAAAAGTTATCTAAGGAATACATTCTTGAACATTTTTATGAATGAGCAAAAGGCTTCGATAAGAAAGGGGACAGTTGAATCTAGTACAGCTACTTGATACAGATAAAAAGACCCTTAAAAATCAGGAAAACAATTGGAAAAAATTGAATAAGGTCTGCACAGTAGATGAGAGTACTGTATAAAATGTTAGTATATGATGTTCATAATTGGTTTCTGCTTATGTAAGAAAATGTCCTATTTTAGGAAATATATACATATATTTGGAGATAAAAGGGCTTATACCTGCAACTTACTTTCAAACACAAAGCTAATCTGGTAAAACATTAACCTGGAGAACCTAGGTTTCTAAGAATTTTTTGTACTATTTGTGTAACAATTCTATAACTGTGAAATTACTTGAAAAGACAAAATGAAAAATAACTAATGGAAGATACCAGTGAAGCAACATCTTATTGATCCTAAACTCTGGTGAGAGTGTTCTTTTCAGGACTGACAGGGAGTCAGAGGGAGTCCCCCAGATGGTACCAATAGTAATAGCTCAAGAGGTGAGGACACCCCAGGGTGAGCAGGTTAAACCCCCAGGTTTCATGTCTCCCAGCAGACCTAAACCTGGGACAGAGCCAAAAGGGGCCAGAGGTACGGAGGCTAAGGAAATATACTCAAGTGTAAAATCAGGCTAGGACTGAATGATCCGGATGACAATAAAGTGTCATGGAAATTACTTCTCTTGGACACTTGCAAATAACATGTTTATAAACCGCATCTTGCACAGCTCACCTAATTGTAGATAGTGGCAACCCAAGTATGTGCTGTACTCAGGACTCAGGACAGCAGAAGATAGAGAAGGGCAGGCTGTGGACAGAGAGCGGCAAACTTTGAGGAGCTTGTTAACCTGGCCCTAAGTCCTGTCTGGGCTGAACAAGGCACAGGGTAAAGCACTTGCCCTGAACAGTGAATCTTACTAAGTACAGGTGTACAACTACAAAACACCATCTCCTACCGTTCAATGACATAAAAGTTGTCTCCATCATCTCCTTGGTCAATGACATGCTCATCAACTTTGACCGTCCTTTCAAACATGGCATCAAGGACTTGGGATAGCTGTTCCTGCAGGGAACACACAAGGAGAAAAGATGGCCTTTACATTTATGAGGAAAAAAAATAACTGTTTATCTCAGATGGTGACTACATGGGAGAAGTCTTCACATCAGACTATCCCCCACATCCAAGCAGAAATCTAAGGGTCTGAAACAAATGCCTTCCTGTGACCATTCAGCTTTGCACGTCCACATACACAGCCCAGTTACCAAGCTCTCTGAGGCAGTATTGCTTTGGGGAAAAAAAAAAATTTTCTACAATTTACATGAAAACAGGCATCTAAACCATGGTGCCTATTCATCCAGCCACACCCACAAGACTGTCACCTGCCTCGATGACACGTGGACAGCCATGACGGCTCTACTGTATCATGTGTAATGTGATGACGCCACCTTCCTACAGGTGTTGATCTTAACAGGATCATCAAATCTAACAGACAGATGTTTCAGAGGTTATCTCATGGAGCAGCACAGCTGCCCTTCCTAGTCAAGCACATCACTTAATCTGAGTCTGTTTCTTCATTACAAAAAAGTGTTTAATAAATAGCTTCCAGCTCATCAACTTTCATGACTAAAGGAGAAAAATCTACGGAAAATATTTATCACATAATAGGTAATTAATAAATAAGCTCTATTATCAGACACTTAATATTGCTATAGTTATTTATATACAACACATACAATGATTTACCAGTATTACCTGCAATAACCAGAAGGTAACTGCACCAACAAGTATTAAAATAATCAAAACAAAACAGTGCTATTAAATTCTAACAATACAGTGGTCTCAGTCTAGGGCCAGCATCCCTCTGTCAGTGACTGTTGAGCATATGTGCATGCTAAGTTTGCTTCAGTTGTGTCCAACTCTGTGTGACCCTATGAACTGCAGCCCACCAGGCTCCTCTGTCCATGGGATTGTCCAGGCAAGACTACTAGAGTGGGTTGCTGTGCCCTTCTCCAGGGGATCTTGCCAATCCAGGGATCAAATCTTCATCTCTTATGTCTCCTGCATTGGCCGGCAGGTTCTTTAACACTAGCACCACCTGGGAAGCCCCAGTGACTGTTAGGGAGCACTAGAGACCAGTTTCAACTCACAGAAAGGCTTTCTCTTTGGAGGAATGTGGATTGAAGGCTTGGCAAGGAAATAATTTTATTGCTGAATAATTCCATATGGTTTAGCATTCTGCTACTTAAAATAATGTATCACCAACAAGCAGCTCTTTAGTTCCATAGTTCCATGGGTGGTGAATACTGTACAAGCTGACAGATACTATAAAAGAAGGCTTGCTACTTGTGTGTCCACATTCATGTGGAGTGTGAGCCCAGTGTTGCCTGAAACCTTGCATTTAAATACAGGTAACAAATTCAAATTTTCACATACAATACAGACCAAACACGTACATCTACACCTGGTGTGTCTGGCCTGTGGCCTGTCCATTGGCAGCCTCATGTTCTGAGTAACAAATCTTCTAGCCCAGACTCTTCAAAAACATCAGTGTCATGAGATATAGAATAATATATGGCGGAAGCATTCTGGGTTAGAGGGGACTAAAGTCATGCCATGACAACCAAAAGCAACATGTGATTCAGAACTGGAAAACAAAACAAAAAAGCTATAGAAAACTTTCCTGGGAAAAGCTTAATATGGACTGTATTTAGATATTATTATTACAACAGTGTTAAACTTCTTGGGCTTAATAATGATTGTATGTTAATGGAGGAGAATATCCTTGTTCTTGGAAAATATAACTTAAGGCATTTAGTGGCTAAGAGCCATGATGTTCTCAATATATTCATAAATGGCTCAGGACCTAAAAAAGCAGTTTATACGTTACCTATATATGTGCATACATATACACATAGGAGACAGAGTAAATGTGGCAAGATGTTAACAACTGGTCAATCTAGGTAAAGAATATACACAAGTTTTGATTTTTCCGTACATTTGAAAATTTAAACACAAAAGTTTGAAAAGCAAATTGTTTTTAAAGTGGAAACAAATACACTCACTGGAATAGCTAAAATTTTAAAAGACGGATAATATCAAAAGTTGGTAAGGATATAGAACAACTGGAAATATCATATATTGTTGGAAGGAATACAAAATAGTAAAATCACTTTGAAAAAGATCCAGCAGTTTTTTATAAAATAAAAAATACATCTACCCTGTGACTCAGCTATTTTTGTCCTCGGGTGTTTTACTGAAGAGCACAAAATGTCCACAGCATTATTATCAAGAGTTAAAAAACAAGAAATAGACCAGGTATCCATTGTCAGAAAAGTGAACAAGCAAACTGGCATCTTCATACACTGGAATACTACTCAGAAATAAGAGGGAATGAACTAGCATCATGCACAACGACACACCAACATCACACATCCCTCGAGCTGGTCCTCCGAGAAGACAAAGCATAATTTCTACAGTAGTCTGGCCAAGACGTGCAACCACATTTCAATCGTGAAGAAACATCAAACAAATCCAAATTGAGGTATATTCTATAATGTAACTAACCAGCACTCTTCAAACTGTCAAGATCATGAAATACAAGAAAGGACTGAAAACTATCACAAATTAGAGGAGACTATGGAAAAATAACAACCAAAATGGGATTTTGGTTGCAATATGGGATTCTGGACTGGATCATTAACTATGGGGGAAAAAAAAACATTGGGGAGAAAACTGATGAAATCTGAACAAGGTTTTTAGTTTAATTAATGATATTGTAATAATGTAAATTCCCTGGTTTTGATAACTGTACCATGGTTATGTAAGATGCTAACACTGGGGGAACTTAGATGAGGGCCATATGGGAACTCTTTACTATGTTTACAACTTTTTTGTGAGGCTAAAACTAGTTCAAAATAAAAAATGAAAAAAGAAAATGGAATGCTGAACAACACGAAAGAATCTCAAAAATAATGTGCTGAGCAAAAGGAGTTTCTCACAACAGAGAGAAATCTTGTATGATTTATTATATGAAATATTGTATGATTTCATATCTTGTATGATTCCACTTACATGAAATTCTAGAAGGCAAAATGAATTTATGGTAGAATAAATCAAAATAGAAGTTGCCTCTGTGGGGAGGGGAACAAGAATTGATCATGAAAGGGCATTAGGAAAGTTTCTGAAGTGGTAGTAATATTCTGTTATCTTTTTTCTGGCTGTATACATTGTGTGGCATGCAGAACTTTAGCTCCCTGATAAGTGCCTGCATTGGGAGTGCGTCTTAGTCTTAGCAACTGGACCGCCAGGGAAGTCCTAAATTCTATAATCTTCTTTCTTTTTTTTTAATATTTATTTTTATTTTTATGTATTTGGCTGTGCTGGGTCTTAACTGCGGCATGCAGGATCTAGTTTCCTGACCAGGGATTGAACCCAGGCCCTGTACATTGGGAGTGCAGAGTCTTAGCCACTGAACTATCAGGGAAGTCCCCCAAATTCTATATTCTTGACAATGGCTTGGATTATTTAAATGTATACATTTGTCAAACCTAAGTGAATGTACATTTAAAACTCATGCATGCGTTTCATGTAAACAGCAACAAACAAATATTGAACTCTAGTTCATGATATAAATACCAAAATATTTAAGGGAACTATACTGACACTATCTAAAAAAATAAGATGGGTTAATGTAGGGCAGCAAACAGCTGACTGTAAACATTTTACTGGAACACAGCCATACACTTTCATTTATGCATTGCCTATGGCTGCTTTCCTGCTACAATAATGAAGTTCAGTAGTTGTGACAGAAATGTTTCATATTTGCTATGGGCTTCCCTGGTGGCTCAGATGGTAAAGAATTCGCTTGCTATGAGAGAGATCTGGGTTCGATATCCAGGTTGGGAAGATACCCTGGAAGAGGGCATGGCAACCCACTCCGGTATTCTTGCCTGGAGAATCCCCATGGACAGAGAAGCCTGGTGGGCTGCAGTCCACGGGGTCCCAAAGTCAGACACAATTGAGTGACTAAGCACAGCACACATCTGGCTCTTTAAGCAAAAGGTTGCCAACCCCTTTGTTGAGGGTAGATGGTATATAACACAACAAGCATAGTAAAATGTTAATGTTAGAATCAAGGCAGAGGATAAATACATGTTCTGTAAAGACCTTCTTACTTCATTGTATTTGAACATTTTCATGATAAAATGTCAGAAAAATATAATTAAATCTGAAAAATTTATTTTTCAATACCGAAATGGTAAAATGATGTTCTTCATCACTAAGAAAAATCTGAATACTAGACTGACATAGCAACTTCCTTTAGAACATCTGCTAGTATAACATTTACAAGGGGTTTTATTCACAATAGATAAAGAAGTAAGTCCCTTTTCTATTGACACAGATGGGTCTTCCAGGGAAAACAGCAGACAGACTAGTATTTCTTACAACCAGCCTTTCCTTGAACTCACTGTCCTTGTTTTATTCAATCTTAGACTAATAAATTTCTGATTAAAGTTACAGCTATTCCTGTAACCACAAAGCTACCAAACAGTCTGGTTTTTACAGACGCCAGGAATACATCATGGACTCATGTCTGACCAATCCAGTTCCCAGAGGGCTGTGGGAATATCTTCAGAAGACTTTACTGGGTAGTAGGAAAATTCTATTTCCCATCCCTTCTGTCTCTGCACATTCTGGGATTCCCCAGCAGGCCCAGCACTTCAGTCATCCATGGGCCTTCAACACATGGCCCTCAAAGTACTGAAGAAATAGGCAATTTGAAGCATCTCTGTGCTCAGGAGGCAGCCCTGCTCTCCATCTTCATCAAGAGGGGGAAGACAGGCACACATAGATCCTGTGCGGAGCCCTATAGACACGTACCACTCTCTGTGTCCCAGTCCTGGGGTCTTCACTGAGAATAATCACAAAAGATGCCTCACACCAAAGAGGTGAGAAGCAGTCACCCACTTCCAGTGTGTAACTGCTACTGGTAAGGAGGACACCACACTGGCATCTTTAGAGAAATTACTCTGCAGCATAAATAAAGACCCTCCGAACTAAGCCAGGGTCATGCAAACCTGAGCATTTCCTTTTGACATGACCCAAATGCATGGTCCGCAAATGGTACTGCCTTGGAGGAAGTACCAAAGCAGTTCAGAGAAATATTACAAGTCATCTGTGTTTAGCTACAGTGCTAAACACAATGCAAAAGAAGAAGCTAAGGTTTTATTGCCTCATATGGCTGTGGCTAAGATGCTAAAAACTGTTTAAATGATGAAAAACTAAAAGACAAAAATATTTTACAAAGTCAGTGTTACCGGATCAAGATTTTTGAAGAGAAGAATATCTTTGCAAGCTTCCTGAAGTCTGCACCGCTGTTGATCTGTTTTAGGATGAATCACCTGCCAATCCAAAGAAAACAAGGGAAATTTTAATATTCTATTTTAAAATATTACTTAACTTACAAATTAGAATATTTCTTTCTCCTAAAAATGGGAAAAATTAAGAGTATGTTTACCATAATTTTAATTTTATACAAATACCAAGCAGTACCCTGATCGTGGACAGGCAATGGGATGGGGGTATGGCTGGCAGCAAGTCAGCTATCTGCTGGGAGCCCCAGAATCCCCATCCGTAAAGCAGAAGGTTACACGTTCATTCATTCAACAAACATTTCCATCAGCTAGGTGCCAGGCACCATCTAAGCTCTGAGGACAGAGCAGTGAACACAAGACATAAACACCTGCTCTCACCATCAATAAATACATAAAGTATGGTAGAGAGTGACAGGGCTAAGGGGAAAAATAAGGCAGGGAAGGGTGATTAAAAGTGTGTGTACACGCAGGCATGTGTCCAGATGAGGCCTGAGGAGGTGACATTTGTGTCAAGATCCTAAGGAACTGAGGACAACCTGCAGGAGTGAGTCATGTGGACATCTCTGTGAAGATGACCTCAAGCAGAAGGAATAGCAAATGAAAACAATATGTTGGGTGAATAGCATGTTTGAGAAAAACCAGGAGACAGGTGTGACTGACAAAGAGCGAAGGGAAAAGATCAGGAAGAGACCTGGTTTGGGGGTTAGGTGGAGGGCAATGTAAATCACAGAACTGGAACTTTTCTCTAGTGACATGGGGGCAATCTCAGGGTTCTGACTGAGGAAGGAAAGAGATCTGACTGATGATTTTAAAGACTCAAGTTGGTTCCTAAGTGAAGAACAGCCTAAGGGACACAGGAGCAGAAGCTAGGAAGCGTCTGTGATTATCCTAATGTTAAACTTATGATTAAGACCAAGGTGGTAGCCATGGAAGTGTTGAGAAGTACTGGAATTCTGGATATGACCTGAAGACCGAGCCCATTGGATTTGCTGAAAAATTGAATGCGGGTATAAAAAATTAAGAGGAGCTGAGGGTGACCTTAAAATTTTGGACCTGAGCAACAGGAAGGATAGAGCTGCCATTTAATGAGCTGGGGAAGACTGTGGGTGAAAAAGAATGTCTCAGTGGAAATCATCAGGAGCTCACTGTAAGCTGTCTATTGAAATCGAAATGGAGATGGCAAGTAAACAACCACTATATAAGCAGGAGTTCAAACATTGACAAAGTATTACCAGTAATATTAGTGGTGCCTACAAAATTTCAGAGTTGCCACAGAATTAAATGAGCTGATACAGGCAGTGTTTAAAATAGAACCTGGCATTCAGTAGGTGTTCAATAATTATTACTACTACCACTAATACTATAGATAGTCAATACATGTTTTTTGAACTAAAAAAGAATTATTGCCCAGCATCGCTGTTATAATTGAAAAACCTATTAAGCGCCATCCTAAATATTGTCTTCACCCTAAAAAAATCTACATCACTTAATTTAGACCAGAAATAACAGATGTCAAAAGTGCTAAGTAATTTAAATTTATAATATTAGTCAGTTGAAAAAGTTTTAACTTTTAAAAGTCTTTTCAAAATTTTATAACATCAAGAATGAAAAATTTAAAAACCTACATGTCTATTATATTCACACAATGGTAGCATTTTATTATTAGAATAGTTCAGAAATCTTTTCTAGTCTGCTCACTTTAAGGCATATTTGAAAGATCATTAAAGTTTCTTTATAACATCAATCTTTTTAAAAAGATGGTTCAAATTTGCTTTTATAGAAGTAACTGGTTAACTATATAAAAGTTTAAAAATCTGAGTTTTTGAAAAAGCAACCCCCAAATCAACTGTAGTCTTGCAACAACTACTGTTAAAATCTGGGAAGTATGCCTTCCAGGCATGAATCTCTGTACAAATAAGCAAACAAGTAAATGGGTATGAAGATGGATATATACTCAAAATTTTTTTTATATTACAAAACACTGTATAAAATGTACCTCAAATTTACAACAGTCCATGTCCTTAAACCCAGTCCTGTACCATCATTTCCAATGGCTTCAGATTTTCTTGATTTGAATGTGCCATAATTTAGCCCCTGGAAACCCCTATTTTTTAGTTCATTTATGTTGCTTCCATCTTTCACTATTATAATACTGCAATAACCTCCTTAGAAAGGATCCTTAGGAAGGATCCAACTGGTAGGCATGAATTCTCCTGCAGGTAACTGCTGAGTCAGTTGGCTTGACTAAGTATAAAGCTGACAGCTACAGCTAGGCACCCCTTCTTACCATATCCTCAACCAATCTTGCTTCCTATTCTTCTTAATAATTGTCAGTCTGTTAGATAAATGACGATATCTTGCTGAGATTTTAATCTGTATTTATTTTAAATATCTGCATGATTAGACTTGGTACACAGAGGAGAAGGGGAGTGAGTGGGGACTGAAATTATTCTACCTAATACCTTTGCTGCAGTTCTTACCCTTGGATCAGTATCTTCCTCTTCCTCATCAGGGTTATAGGTCTCAGCACAGACTAAAGTTGGAGAGAAAAAAATAAAGAGAAAAATGAATAAAACAGATGTGTATTTTACTGGAAAATAGGAAGTAAACATAATTTCCTTTTGTTCACTGTTTTCTAAAGCTATAATGAACTTTGCAACCCCTTCCTTCAGTTAACAAATACACTAAGTACCAAGTAATGCCAGGCATTCTGTTAGTGATGAAAAGTCAGCTATCCAGGGATTGGTAGTCCAAATAGAAGAGAAACCATAAAAAACATCGCCTACTAAATTCTATGGTAGTGGCAAGGATAAGCAAGGAAGTGCTGTCTCTGCTGAGCTATGAAGCAGGAACAGAAAACCACCAAGCACAACACACGCAATATAAACATATGGATATGGAATTGGAGTAATCATGAAAAAAAATCAAAATATCTCAACCTCATTATGTATTAGAATGACTTAAAAGAATGAATTTTAACAAAATAAATATAATACTATTTGTCAGGCTCTGTTATAAATACAATATTATATAATTCAAAGCCAACTTGGTTTTCTTTGTAGGTAATCTGTGTTTGTACCAGTGGGCTGGCTGCAGGACTTGTCTTTATCAAAATTCAAAGATTTAAAAAACGTTAACCAAAAAAAAAGACAATGCTAACCAAACATTTGTTTATAATACCACAATATCATAAATGATGTAAGTATGCATTTGAATAATTCAGCTATGAGAAAGATTGAGAAAGACCCCCATTGGCTAATAAACAGTCAGCTCTATGGGAAAAAAGGCAAAAAAAGGAGGTGAAGAATATACTATTAAAAAAAAAAAGAATATACTACTAATACGTAGCAGACTCTCCTTCCATAAAGAAGGACTTCCATGAGAAAGAAGGGGAGCTACAAATGGTGGGGAGAGGGAATAAAAAAGTATGAATATATATATATACACATATGAGAGAGAGATATATACACACACATACACAAAAGTTAAAGTGAAAGTTGCTCAGTCGTGTCTGACTCTTTGCGACCCCATGGACTATAGTCCATGGAATTCTCCAGGCCAGAATACTGGAGTGGGTAGCCTTTCCCTTCTCCAGGGGATCCTTCCCAACCCAGAGATTGCACCCAGGTCTCCCACACTGCATTCTTTACCAGCTTAGCCACCAGGAAAGCCCATACAAAAATTTTTAATGTATTTATTTTTCCAAAAGGAAACAAGAGAAGGATAAACCAAAAAGTAATAAAATTGTTTCCTGGAAGGTAGGCAGAAACCAAAAAGGGACAGGGTAGGGAAAGGAATGAAACTTCTCTGAGAACAAAAGTTTATATAGTTTTGACATATAAGCCCTGTTAAAATGTTTTACATATTCTTAACAATAAATTTGATAAGGATGGAGGAACCCAAAAACTGAATACAAAGAAAAACAAATGACCCTAACCACATATCAGGTTGATAACATAACCACAGATAAGGAAAGGGGAATGATTTTAAGTGGTTTCTGAACATAATACTCTGACCATCCACCCTCAGTGGGATGTATCCAACAACAAAAAAGAATTGATGATGGCAATGGTACAGTAATTCCAAAACTCCTCTGTGTACTATAGTTGTGAGTAAACAAATATACATTTAGTTTTTTACTGGAGAAAAGGGGAATATTAATACAAATACAGAACACAAGATGAGTTAGAACTGGAAATGTCAATACAAGTCATGCTTTTTAAATCTTACCCATAGGGATGACAATAGTAGACACAGTGAATTATGTAATGAATAAAAAAGTTAGTGTACTCATAAACTATTTTGCCAAGAATGTCTAGATGTGATCACTGGTGTTACCCAGAAAGCAAGAAACCTGTTCTTTCCTCATAACAGCTTTGGTATAGGTCACTATAGCTAAGGAAAAGTTTTTCTTCTAAAAAATCCTTAATTATTTGCAATAACTGTGTGACCTGGCTTGGTTTACTTCAAACCTCCACCTTCGCTTCTGCACACTGGCGCTAACAGCAGTGATTCCCCTCTGAGGACTGAGGTAAGGATTCAAGTAAACAAGTGCCTGGCACACAGTAAGGAGGCAGTAAGTGTCAGCTCGTTGAACTACTGCTATTATCATGTTTCATTTGTTCTGGTTTTCTGGAACTTTAATTACCATTGTCTTGGTTCTATTCTCTATCCGAGCTCTTTCAACAATTGTCCTCTCTTCAAGGCTGTCTTGTATTACAGATTTTGCCCTTAAAAATTTTACTTCTCTTGCCGTCTCATGCAACTACGCCACACCTTTGACTGTGTGGATCACAACAAGCTGTGGAAAATTCTTAAAGAAGGGAATACCAGACCACCTGACCTGCCTCCTGAGAAATCTGTATGCAGGTCAAGAAGCAACAGTTAGAACCGGACATAGAACAACAGACTGGTTCCAAATTGGGAAAGGAGTATGTCAAGGCTGTATATTGTCACCCTGGTTATTTAACTGATAATGCAGAATACATCATGCGAAATGCTGGGGTGGATGAAGCAAAGCTGGAATCAAGATTGCTGGGAGAAATACCAATAACCTCAGATATACAGATGATACCACCCTTACGGCAAAAAGTGAAGAGGAACTAAAGAGCGTCTTGATAAAAGTGAAAGAGGAGAGTGAAAAAGCTGGCTTAAAACTCAACATTCAAAAAACTAAGATTATGGCATCTGGACCCATCACTTCATGGCAAATAGATGGATAAATGATGGAAACAGTGACAGACTTTATTTTCTTAGGCTCCAAAATCACTGTAGGTGGTGACTGTGGCCATGAAATTAAAAGATGCTTGCTCCTTGGAAGAAAAGCTATGACCAACCTAGACAGCATATTAAAAAGCAGAGACATTACTTTGCCAACAAAGGTCCGTCTAGTCAAAGCTATGGTTTTTCCAGTAGTCATGTATGGATGTGAGAGTTGGACCATAAAGAAAGCTGAGCGCTGAAGAATTGATGCTTTTGAACTATGGTGCTGGAGAAGACTCTGGAGAGTCCCTTGGACTGCAAGATCAAACCAGTCAATCCTAAAGGAAATCAACCCTGAATACTCATTGGAAGGACTGATGCTGAAGCTGAAGTTCCAATACTTTGGCCACCTGATGTGAAGAACTGACTCACTGGAAAAGACCCTGATGCTGGGAAAGACTGAAGGCAGAAGAAGGGGACAACAGAGGACAAGATGGTTGGATAGCATCACCAACTCAATGGACATAAGTTTGAACAAACTCCAGGAAATGGTGAAGGACAGGGAAACCGGGCATGCTGCAGTCCATGGGGTTACAAAGAGTTGGACATGACTGAGCAACTGAACAACAAATCAGCATTTTGTAGTGGACCCTTCTAACCTTCATTCCTCTTATATCCTTAATCCACCAACTTCATTTATAAGCCTTATATTGTTTGTTAGGGTTTACATCTTATTTGTGAGCAGGCAAGGAATATGACTGGTTCTTGACCCTACACTCCATTCTTCTGTATGATGGCTAAAAAATCTCTATGTATCTACAACGAAGGGATGAGATAATACATACAACTCTCAATTCCTGATTTCTTAGAGACATTTACTCACTGCAGTGCTGGTCTAGCTGCCCTCCAGCTTCCTCCTCCTCACTGACTTTCTGAACTAATGGAATACCTGAGAAATGGTAACTCCCCACGTGACCTGTGGACAGGATGCCCTTTCTTGTCCAGCCTACAGGTGTGGGCCATGCCTTCTGTGCTGTACTGCCATCAAAACTCTGCCTAACAGGAAACCAGAATCCTTAAATAGATTGAGAAAAACTCGGGAGAAGGGAGTAAGAGAACAGACATCATTCTAATCCCTAAAACAGCATCAGGTAATGATCTGTATAGAGCGCTGCCCAGCTCCTTGTAGCACAGGCTTTTGGAGCTGAGCCAGGGAAGGGATGGAATGTAATGACTCCCTATCTTTCGCCAAGCCATTCCTGTTTCCACAACGAAACAAGTTTATCTCAGGACAGTCCTAAAGATTGAGGCAGACACATCCCTGAGTTCTTGGATGTTACTGCTGTCACTTTTCATACTTTCATAGCTATTTGGGTAGGGGCTGAGAAAGCTGTGCTGAAGGCAGCTCATCAGACACTACGTTAAACTGCAAACCTCTTGGTTCTCTGTGCTCAATTAACGCTGTCATTGTCAGCCCAGTTTTCTAAACTAGAAATTTGGAACTCACCATTACTGCCTTCTTTCCACCTGTTACCCAATGAATACATCAAATTCTGCCTCAGAAATATTCTCATATTTGACCTCTATTCAGTCTACCCTGTTACTCCTTGGTCCAGGATTTCAAAATGTCTTCTTTGAAAAATGCATTTTGAAAACCCTCATTTTGGAGATAGGTGGGTACACAAGGATTATACTAATTTTCTCTACTTTTGCATATGTATGGAAATTTTTCATTTAAAAAGTTGAAAATAATGTCTTTTAATGATGAGACTGACAGGATTTTACTGATAATGACACTTAGTCTTGAGCTCGCTTATATTCAGGCTTGGTCTTCTGATTTTGGAGGAAAGTACTGTAGCACCTTAGCTCATTTTTGTATTTTTAGACATTAATGTAACTGAGGCAACAAATGTTACATCTTGAAGTCTTAAGACACAGAACTATGATTTAAACAAAAGCAATTATATTCATTAAAATTATTAATATGTTTCCTATTTGTGAAAAATGGAGAAGGAAGTAGCAACCCACTCCAGTATTCTTGCCCGGGAAATCCCATGGACAGAGAAGCTGGTGAGCTACAGTCTATGGGGTCGCAAAGAGTTGGACACGACTGAGCACACGCAGACATTAGTGGAAAAACAGTGTATCTTTATTTTTTTAAACTGGTTTGGATGTTTTCACTTTTCTTCTTGAACATCAGACTCAACTCCTTTTTCTTCTTCCTCTGTTTACCTCAACCTCTCTACTTCTTCCTGGTCCTGATCCCAAATTACTTTTCTCATTTTCTATATAAAAATCTATTTTTAGGTCTCTGCGATTGCTGTCCCTTAT